AATTGAGATGACTCCTCCTATGTAAGCGGCGATCAAGACTGCATTGAAATTGAAAGAAGCGGTCAGCCAATTCAAATAATTAAAGGGCTCCCTACCTCACAAATTGCGCGCTCCAACTTCCATCGCAATTCTGCGGTAGGCGGCGCGTGCGGCGTGTGCGACGCCGTGTTAGGGTAGAAGTTCCCGGACCCAGTAGGGACTGTAGAGGTTGCATTATTTGCAACGGGTTCCACATGTTACACACAGGCAGCTAGTTTACTGTAACCAACTGTACGTAACGGCACACACATTTGGACAGCTCGTCCAAATACCTCTTTCATACACCATTTGTGCTCACATTCCCGTCTAACCTCTAATTCCACCACTTTTTTGAAGTCCTCCAGATCCGTAGAGACTAGGATCTTCTTTTTTTTCACCACTTTTGCACTATTTTAGGCAAACGCTTCCATTATTAGTCCGAACCAGATTCTCCTAAATTATCGTGAACTGAGCTTCAAGCTGTCATTGTTAAGGTGGACTGAAGTCGGTTACCGCGATACCTTACCATCCGGGTAACACGACTGTGAGCTTGAAATCTGCTCAGACGCTCAAGAAAAGAGTGATTTAATAAAGTGGCAGCAGTCCCAGTGAAAAAAAATAACATAGTCTGCCCTACTTGGAACGATGAGGTTAACGGATGTACAAACTAGTAGTACTTAACCTTATATATATACATAAAAAATGAATGCAAAAAACCACCATTTTTTGCTATCAGAGAACTCTGAGAGAAGACTTTCCATTTTCTGAGCACCCCCACCCCACCACCCCACACCCACTACAATTGTTGTTGTTGTTGTTGTTCTGCTAAGTTCTGTTAGGCTCTGCTTCCCGAGCAGGGCCAGCCAATTCTTTGGTTCTATTGTTCGACAAAGAACGGCTTTTTAGCCGTGAATACAAACCTTTCTAATACACCAGGGCGACTGGAGATGCCGATCTCCCAAAACCTCAAAAACCTGAACTTTTTGAAAACTGGGGTGGAATAATGGCTTCGACTGGTTTTGGACAGCAGACAATCATCTGCGATAATCGAGGAGCATCACCACATTAAAAACCGTTAGAAAAAGGGTTTAAAGGCACAGAGCGCTCAAAAAGTCGAAATCCTCATACCCATCGTGATCTACTAACTGCCTGATCAAGTTACGTCTCGCTTTTCGCACGGGATGCGCCCGGTTGTGAGATATATTCTGGAAGACCCCAATCATGTGAAAGCTCACCGGCTGAACCATTTGGTTATCTCGTCAGGAGGTAAGATATTGCAAAATTATAATGAAGAAGGGCGGAGGTAGTGTAGTGGCAAGTGGTGCACTATATCGCACGCAAGGTCGGTTTTTTCAGGTTCAAGTCCCCGATCGACATCCGCCCAGGCTGACCAAGCCCTCCATCCCTCCGGGATCGGTTAATTGCTATCAGGCTCGCCTGGGAGGATAGAAGGGAAATCACAGCATTTAATACATGAGTCAGATGAAAAGGGCGGAGGCGTTCTAGAGGCAACTGGCTCCCTTCTAAACAAACATGTTTCGTGGATTGAAACCCGCATCGATGCTCGCGTGCGTAGGCTATCCAAGTTTTTCATCTATTCGGTGCCGGTTAATGGACACCATACTCGTTTTTGAAATGGATCACTGACTTGTCTCTCGGCTGGCTACTGCAAGTCCTTCTACGAGTCACATACGCATTGAAACCGCCATTACGATTTTGAATAGAATTCGAATGCACGGCGCATCACAAAACGATTTTGATTGGCGTCAAAATACCTTATCCTTTTGAAGCACACTGATAATGTGTCATGGTCTCAGGCTACAAAAGAATTCATTTTTTCATGAGTGTTTTACACCCTATGCTTACTACTCTGGCACCTCACCGAACCTAAGACTTTGAACCTTGGAACCGGTGCCCATGGATAATTCAAAGTGACGCATGATCAACTTCAGAGGCACAGTTTACAATAGTAAGTATAGTTTGGAAGTATGAAGCGATACTTAAGGATAGAGCGAAAAATAAGAAGAAAACGCGAAAATCGGCGTATCTGCAGAAAAATAAGGCTAAGAAGTAGTAAAATTAGAGGTTAGACGACAAGCATTGCATGGGTGGAGCATTTGGACGAGTTATCCAAATGTGTGCGCCACTGCGTACAGATGGCAAAAACGCTTTGCATAATGGCACACACCCACACAACATTTTGACTGCCTGCGTGTAACAGGTGCGTCTTGGTGCAAATGTGCGAATGGTGCAACATCTTCGACCTTTACAACACGCTGAAATCTCGTTCCTTTCGGGTGTGTACATCGGCTGATCTTGGTTAGTTTTCTGGGTCCCTATCATACCCTATTTCGGCAGTTTTTCGGCCCAACAACGTCCCTTATGCTATACTCAGAAATCATCCCGGAGAGGAATCTGAAGGACCATTTTATTGATATTTGGCTGTTTCGTTGAGATGACTGAATCTCCATTTTGTAGGCTTCAAAGTTGCTCACCCTTTTTGTCTAACATGGTCAAGTCTATTTCTTCAGCAGTATAGGGGACGGATAAGCATTATAACTGAAAAACTGAGTTTCCAATTTCCCCACTTTGGGTTTCCTTTTCCAAATTCTCTTTCGTGATGCGGACACTAGCGGAGTGACACAGATGCGTTCCCGAGATATGGTCCCAGAGTGCGAGACCGGCTGGTCACTACGTTTAGGCGTTTGCACAGAAGGGTGGACAACCGGGTTGCTGTCCTACCACTGGTTGCAAATGCCCTATGATGCCGCATTATCATTGCATTAGTCTTCGGCATTTCCACCATTTCGGTGAGTTCTAATTAATCTTGTCTGGATTACTTTTCTGGTTCTAATTACTGCCTGATCCGTTCGGTCCCAATCTACGGTCTAGTCACCCTTCACTGTTTACGAAATTCCTCTCTATCTTCCGACTCCCGAATTTCGATAAGGGAGCACATTTATGTTGAAATCTGCTAACGAAGTCGTTTTCTCACGTCGCTGCAATGAATTCCGCAACGCCTGTATTTCTTTATAGATTTTCTGTCCATATACTGTAGACTGTCAGCTTGAACTCGACATTTTTTATTGTTTCGATAATACTTTTCTTTTTCCTGAATTGATCAGCTGCTACACGTGGTCGTGATGGGAGTTGGCTCTGTGGCAATTAATTTTATATTTTCTGCACCTAGGCCTACCTCTCTGTAAAACAGATACTTATTAGGCGCCTTTTTGAGTTGAGAAACAGGAGTGTAGTGCAGGAGAGTGTAAGGGAGGTGGAAAAAAAGCGGTAGTTCGTTTTCGAGATGTAAAAGATCTTAAAAAAGGATAGAGTAAGAGTTGTATGAGCTCAAGACGAAGAAAGTGGTATAGAAGGGGTATCTAGACGAGGTTTCAGATTTGTGCAATTGTGTGAAGACTGTCTACTGTAAGCGAAAGCACCGGCATTTGCTTCTCACTACGTCTATGGGTCAAAACTTGGTCAAAACTTCATACGACCAGCTGTTTGAGTTTTCGAAGCAAGTGCTCCATTCTGAATGGAGCGATCTAGAAGCGTCCAATCTTCCCAGCATGATCTCATCTGGGTGTGTGTGCAACAAGGATAATCTTCTAATCTTCATAACGCCCTACTCCGTTTTTCAACCGGCAATGGTTCAAGTGCTGCTTTTGGGGATTATTTATTTCATTAGATTAGAGATTCAATCTTGGCAGAATTCTCTAAAACTGCTTTTACCGAGAATCGTGCCTTTGAATGTGTGTGCGGAGTATACAATTATTCGAGAAAGCCAGCCNTCATACGACCAGCTGTTTGAGTTTTCGAAGCAAGTGCTCCATTCTGAATGGAGCGATCCAGAAGCGTCCAATCTTCCCAGCATGCCCTCATCTGGGTGTGTGTGCAACAAGGATAATCTTCTAATCTTCATAACGCCCTACTCCGTTTTTCAACCGGCAATGGCAATGCTTTTGGGGATTGTTTATTTCATTAGATTAGAGATTCAATCTTGGCAGAATTCTCTAAAACTGCTTTTACCGAGAATCGTGCCTTTGAATGTGTGTGCGGAGTATACAATTATTCGAGAAAGCCAGCCGATGTTCGGGGTCTTCAATATTCCGTACGGGTATCGTACCGACTTCGAAGAGGCTTGGATGGATAAAAATGTGTCAGTCGAGTATTTCATTCCATGACCATGCGAACTACTTGGCACTACCCATCCCATTTTAAAAACGGGATTGATCGTTGTCGAAGGACTTTATCATTTCACATTATGCCTTTCGTTGATATGTCATTTTACTCGAGCTCGCGCACTCCCTCACCCACTTCCTAAAGTGGTGTGCATTGTTTTGAGTCGTATTTGAAAACAGATCAGGATTCCAATAGACTGAATGCCGTTCATTGGAGCGATCTCAGAGCGTTCATTTCTCAAGCTTATGTAAATTTCACACAGAACAAGAAGGGTGCTATGTAGTTAGCAAACGAACGCAGGACGCAAACGCAGGACCCTTACTCTTCATTCTACTGATTCCTTTGCTGAACGGACGTTTCAGGCCTCCAAAAGTCGTAAGCAGGTGGACTGCGTGCTAAACTGTTCTGAATCAAATACTAGGAGCGTTCCTCTTAAAATAATTTCAATTCACTGTAGTGTTGACTCAAATCTATGAATTGCCACCTCCCGTCGACCACCCCTACTCCTCCCTTCACCATAGCCTACACTTATCCTCCTCTCTTCCTCCCAGTGAATTTTCCATCTTATTTTAACTTCTCCACTATTGATCGAATATAGAGGATGCTGCTAATCGCAACTGAATAGCAAGCAGATTGGAGGTGGCGATAGGTTACGGCGTAGTGTGGGACCGGCTAGCGGGGAAACGCGTTCTCCACTTCTCGTTATTATCTGATTTATTTTTTTTT